CGTAGGTAATATCTCAATTAACACTTTTAACCTAAACAAACGACATCACATTTCTTGAAACAAGTTTGCTCCACATAAACTTCTCCAACATAAACTCTTCTAGTGAGAAATTAGTAACAAATTAACCAATTAATAACAAGAAACAATAAAATATCATATCCAACAAATCACAAATCTCTAATTAATCAATCAATCAATCATACTAATGAAGCTGGCCTTGCATCTTCCACCGTAACCCTTCGCGCCGGCTTCGACTCCTTCACCGGTGGTCGCGACAACATCCTCCGCGGCGGAGATTGAATTTGATAATTACCATCACCACCAACATCATGATCAACCGGGCCCTCCGCGGTTGAGTTCTGGCAAGGAACCGGCGGCGGCGGTGGAGGCGGCGGAACCTGACACGGCTTCGTCTCAAAACACTTGAAATCCTCACACCTAACCTTCCCCCGCCTAGACTTGAACATCTCACACTGCCACCTCGTCCGCTGGTTCCTCCTCCCTCCCCGCAGACAGTTCCGGCCGTCGCGAAACGCCTCCACCCCCGAACACTCTGGCGCCTCCCCGTCGAAGAAATTATTCGACGCCGTAAAATTCCACAGCTTCGGTAGCGAGCAGATCGCCTCGGGGATCTCCCCGGACAGGAAGTTGTGGTCCAGATTCAAAACCTCCAGATTCTCCAGCTCAGCAAACGAGTCCGGTATGGGCCCCACAAACCTGTGTTTTTTTTTACGAGTACGAGGATGCAAAACAGGTGTTGAGAGTATGTATTAAATGAAAGAAAGAGTTTAAAATTCATAAAAGACAAATGAATGATACACAAACTCATCTAAATAAAAACTTCTGAGATCTCAAGTAATGATTAGTACGACTTCAAAGAGACCGGAAACCGGATAATGAATAGTATTGAACAATTTTTTTAACGTCTTTCACCTCCAACCAGAACAATAAAAAAAAAACCTTTTTGATTTTTAAATAGCATTTCAAAAAAAGCGTAGCTGAAAAATGTATTCGAAAAAGTAATTGAAAAAGAAATGAATATTAGGCAGAGCTGAAAACATTTTTCATTAGGGAAATCTCTTTCTACTACTGATTCAAGTTGGAGGGATCCCATCCCACAAGACAAACCTGTTGTTACTGGCGTCGAAAACCGTGAGGTTGGTCATCATCCCGATCTCCGCCGGCAAACAGGCCTCTATCCCGTTGTCCATGAGGATCAGCTCCCGCAGCGTGGCCGACATGTTTTTGAAGCTGGGTGGCAGGCAGCCCCGGAAATTATTCCCGGCGAGCACCATCGCTGACGCGGGGGAGCTCCCGATGTTGGGCGGCAGCTGGGACTGGAAGCGGTTGTGGTTCAAGAAAATGGCGTCCAGGTGCTTGTCGAAAAGCCTCGAGGGGATCCTTCCCTCGAACTCGTTGTACCGGATGTCGAGGTACTTCAGCCCGGGGATGTTGAGGACCGCGGAGGGGAACCGCCCGGCGAACCGGTTGTTGCTGAGGTCGAGCTCGTAGAGGAGCTTCATTTTCTTGAACGTCTGGGGGACCGTGCCGCAGAACCGGTTGGTGTTGAGGTGGATAAGGGCCAGGTCGGCGAGGAGGCCCAACTCGTCAACGAGCTGGCCCGCGATGTCGGCGTGGTTGAGGTCGATCCCGGCGACGGTTTGGATCGAGGTGTTGTCCGGGGCCGGGAAGCAGAAGATGCCGGTGTAGTTGCACACGTCCGGTCCGACCCAGTTGGCGGTTCGGTTGTACGGGTCGGATAGGATGGTTTGTTTCCAGGTTTGGAGGGCGAAGTAGGCGGTTTCCAGCCGGGGGTTCTCGAATTTCAACGTGTAGGATGGTGACGGCGGCGGGTCGGAGTCGTGGGTGCGGTGGCGGACGATCCATTTTGAGGATTGTCGGAGAGGTGGGTTTGGATCTGGTGCCGCTGCGGCACAGGTTAAAAGCAAGTGGAAGAGAAGGAGATGGGTTTTGTACTTGATCACCATGATTTTTGCAGGTAAAAACTCATTCGTGCAAATTGCTTATTGATGAGTTGGTTTGCGCTTTGTTATTTACTTTATTACTGTGAGTAAAATTGTTAGTTTGGTGGGGGAGTTGAGGGAGGAGTGAATATAAGGCTACGCTACGTATATGTGCATGTAAAAATGCGTACTGTACGTACTGATTTTTGACTGAGCTTTTATTTGTTTTTTTGCGGTGGAAAGGAGGCCGATTTGAGGGGAACGTGGTCTGCGCATTTTGTTCAACGTGTTTTTCTCTTTTACTTCTTTGCTTGGTCTAAGGCTTTACACTTGGATTCTTGTTATGGTGCTTCCTTTTCTCTGCTGTAATTTTGTTTTTATCTTTCGTTTTATATGTATTTTATTATTATTATTATTTAGCTAGTTCAGAATAGGGATGACAATGAAATGGATAGCGTACTCTTCCTGTTCACCATAAACACCATCAATCTCGTTAAACCACAAAGTTTATGAAAATTTAAGAAGAAAATTAAATACTATAACGCGAATAAAGACCATCCAATTATAATTAATAATTTTTTTTGAATGGATAATAATTTATTTCTGTTTCATCTTCTTCATCCAATATCTATTGTCACCATAATTATCAGTTGAATTTTGTAAAATTTTGTATTATTTATTTTGTGAGATAGTTTGAATGATTTGAAATTATTTAGGATTAGTGATAAATTTGGTGTTAAATTGTTATATAATTTATATGTCTTTGATTTTGAAACTTTCTAAATTTATATGACTTTGTTAAATTGTTATATTATTTAATCAACATACCGTTTGATTTTGAAACCAATACATTTGAGCCTAAGAGAATGTGAAGAATTCAAACTTTTTAAATTTTAAACTAGATAATAAAATAAAGGATTAATAATTTTTGACACCAAGTTAACAAACATACTATTTTACTATTTTTCTCACAAATGTATTCCTACATAAAAAATATCCTACATACGAACAATGGATTGGTCTAGTGGTAATACCACTAGCCATGAACCTGGAGGTCTCAGGTTCAAGTCCCTCCAGTAGTACCTAATAACAAAAAAGTAACATATATCACTCTTATCTAAAAAAAAAAATCCTACAAGTTGACAAATATACCCCTACATCAATTTTTTTGTCAAAGTGACCGATTAGGGGGTGGAAAATGATTAAATTTCCCCTCAAAATTTTTTTTTTCTCTTTTTTTTTCAACCGAATAAAAATGAGGTGAGAAATAGTAAATACTCCAATAATATATAGTAGAGTTTTGTCTACTTTTCTCTATTTCAAATTTCATGCAACGAGAGTGAAAGTAGGAAGAACATTTCTGTCTTTACAATTAATTAATTATTCCATATAAAAAATCTCAATATCAGGATTTGAACTCGAGTCTCTTCAAACAAAGACAACAATTACAACCAATCACACTAAGCAAGTTTGTTGTATCTTTTTTAATACAAAACATACACGAAGTAAAACTATGAAAATCAGTGGACTTTTCCATCGTGATTAGCAAGCCCACGAAGTCTACCGTATGTATTTTTATTGTGTTTGATACTTCAATTTTCATAGCAGAGTTTCATGTAGTTTCTCAATTCTAAAATTACTGCTCTCTCCTTTTTTTCACTAAAGGTATATTGGTAATTGGCTAACACGGAAGAAACTAATTCTATTACTACGTATTGTGTGCTTGCAGTTTTCAATTTATATTTAAATTTAGTAATTTTTATCTTTTTTCTTATCTCTTTCTAACTTCCTCCCAAATTCCACCATCGTGCAATAGTTTGCGCCCCTTTCACTTCACAATACAAGGCTGCCTTTGAAAATCAATCTTCCGATATCTCTTGGCACTAAGATTTTATATTTTTATTCTTGAGGATTTAAACTGGGCAAGTAGAAGATTTCAACTTTGATATCAATCCATGGTGAATAGAATGGACTATGGAGTTTAATAAATGGAGTTCTAGAAGGAGGATTAGAAATTGAATATTTGGTTGAAACATACATACGCCTCTTGAGATTGAAGATAGAGTGGATAAAATTTTTATTGTACAACGGAGAGCGGTGGCTATTGGATCTTTAGGTTTATGGCTTTGCAGCTATCGCAACCTAATTCTATCTTAAAAAGAAGAATCATTGATTGATTTACTGAAGTAGGTTGGTTGATTCTTTATTCAACCTACTGGAACTAATAAAGAAGGAGTGTCTAATTTTGTTCCTTATTACTTTGATCGAGTCTATTAGTATATTGGAAGTACCCTAATTTTGGCATTTGCTCTCAAGTTTTGATGGTCCCCTCTTAGCCGAATTGTTAGTATATAGTTGACTTGAATCAACAACTCTCCATTTAGTTTCAAACTATCTATGGTTCGTGTGGAAATTTTAGTGAGCTTTTATACTCTATCTTTCTTGACAATCAACTAACCAATAGCATTTTATCGGGGACGTAATTATCATTATGAAAATGTGATCAATGATAAATTTTTATATTTATATTCTTAAACGATGATGATATTTCTCCAAATTTTCGACCTATATATTCTTTCTTTACGTATCATCTCGATCGAATGATTGTCAATAAAATTAAACGGGTTGATAAACTTAAATATAACATGAAAATACAAATAATAAATATGAATATTCTGGCCAACAAGACAGTTATAAGCTAGTTAATTAAATAAACTAGGTTTAAAATCTAAAAAAAAGGAAATAATTTAAATTTTCAATTCACTCATAATTCAACGTAGCCCATTTCCACAAGGATTTTTATGACAAAACAAAACAATCCTTAGCCCATTTCCGGCCCAATTGACCATTTGACACCCTCTCCTTTCGACTCTATCTGACGCCTAATCCAACGATCAGAACACGGGGCTCAGCAAATATGGCATGGAACCGGACGCAGAGCATTCCTCTTCCCAAAGATATTTTGTGCAAAATCAGATAAGCGCTGACGCGCACTGCAGTCTTATCCCACCGCCACCTGTCGCGAAGCATGGGCCGCCCAAGCAAGCAAGCGAGTGGTTCTCGTCTTCAACTTTGCATCATTTCATAAAAAACGCGCCGAATTTCGAACCCTCTGGAATCTCGCCATCCGGCATATAAAAATCTGGCTCTTCCGATCTGATAATTTCGCGACCAAGCAAACTCTGATCGGAAAATCTTTAGACTACCGGAGCTCTGAGGGAATCATTTTTTAGCGGTTTAAAGGACAGTACGATTCCGACCGCCGTGCGTCCAGCCTCCTTCAATTCGCCAGGATCGAAAGTTCGTCGTTTCTGCGAATTGTAGCTATAAATTTCGTGCTCTCTGCTTTATCTCTTTCCTTTTCTCCCGGCTCTGTCCGCTTGTTGTCCTTGATTGTAGGCTAGTTCTGTGCGGCGTTGGTGATAGGTAACGTGTCGGTGACTTGCTGATTTGTTTTTTCCTGCTCGCTAACATCGTTTGGCTTGGTAGCTTAGATGGTATGGCGAATTTGTTGAAACGACTGGTTTCGGTTTCCGCTTGCTTGCTGTCTGATACTGCTAATGGTGAATTTATGTTATGGGTGGCCGGGCCGGAAATGTATCTTCCGGTCTTTGCTATACTTGTTGAGTTGATTGAGTAATGCTAAAACGTGATTGTGTGAAGTGACGTATGGGGGAATCCAAGTTAATACTGCAGCACTGAGTGCCTTAGAGGATCATTACCTGATCTTGAGCCTGTAGTGATAGATTTTTGTTACTAGTCTCTTGTAGAATCGATCCCTGAAACGTACCAGTCCTTGACACAGTCTGGTAGGCTTTCGTTCTTGAAATTTAAGTTAACTTAATTGTACATCCCCTTCATCTGCGCTCCTCCGTAGAAGGAATTGCCAATTTAGGAGTGTTGATCAGTCATTCAGTTCCCTTCTTTCTCAGGTGCTTACTGATAACTTCTGTTGAGATTGGAGTCCAATTAAGCTGGCGAGTAGCTTTTTGAAGTTTTAGGTCTAAGTCTAGGAAATGGACGAGTTGTTCCAGGGTGCGATGTTAGGCCAAGTGATTATGTAGTAAGTCCTTAGGTAGCATCTCTCAAGTTGGGTCTTCAAACATTGCTCAAGAATGAATGTGCTTCTCTATACCCGACTTTGGAAATGTGAGCGCCAGAAGCATGGATTGGTTTCCTGGTGATGAGCAATGCTGTGTTTATGAGAGAACCAGAAGGGACGGCGACCTTCGAATGTCAGGCTTAACAAATGGTGGTAACTTCTTCCTCGAATCTGGGTTGCCATCTTTTCAACCTGACAGCCCAAAACAACTTCTATATGTTTGTCTTCCCATCTTCCCTTCTTGTATCCAAGAATCAAGCTGGTCCAAGGTTCATGGACTTTGCCGCCGCTGTTAGCTAGTAGTGTCCAAATTACAGCTCAAGCTTCTGAATTCTTGTACTGTTCTTCCGAGTATGTAGATGCTGCAACAATGTGATGAAGCTGGTATTTAAAGGGAACGAGGCTTTTGTTTGCTGTCGACCATGGAGTCTGATCTACCTTCACGAAACTCAATTTATTATGTATGGGTTTCCTACGGTCAATTGGACAGAACGGAGGCCTCTGTTCCCGAAACATGAACTTTTTTAGTTTTGGGTAAGTTCATGTCAGAAGAGACTTGAATCTGAGTTGCTGACCGAGGTAGGCCTATCCATGATAGACAAAATTTCCGTATTTTTACAGTCAAAATTTCTATCTTTCTGTCCTTCTGAGAACACATTTGACTGGGTGATACTCCCTTTTACGATAGGTTCTTCATTCGTGGATCTGTTGGTCATGTCCAGAATAGTTGGACTTTTGTTCTGGGACTTCTTCTTCAAGGAATCAAGTGGTTATGAAACTCTTTATCCGTATTGGAGTTTCTCAGTGCTGCATGAGTTGTTGTATGGGACCTTGTAGCTCTTGTTTGGATAATTCTTCTATTGGCGCATTGCCACTTCCAGTGTGGAGCTGTGCAGCATTAGTTGGATAATGCGCTTGCTAAATTTTCAATATGTCTGCAGCAGTGTAGAAGAAACCAAAGATCTGCTATGCTGTTCCGGTGGCTTGACCAGGTCTGTGGCTTGTGAGGTTTTGGAAACGTTTCTAAACAGTTTTCCATATGCAGGTGCTGTAGCTACCTGGCTGCTTCTAGATATCCATCATTGTCTTGATAAGATGGGAGAGGCAGAAATTATGAGTCTTGGCTTTGATAACATAAAAATCAGGAGTCTATTGGCTCAGAAAAAGAATCAGGAGACTATTAGCTCAAATTTTCAGCAGCTGAATGGCGAATGCGAGTCAAAAGACAGAATGACTACTGACATGCTTGAGAAGGGGTTAATGGAGTATGGGTATGTCCATTCTTTATTAGCAACGCCACTTGTTAGTAGATTCTGGCTGTTCCTTCCTAATACGACATGCTCTTCTTTGCAGATGCCCTCATTATCGTCGAAGGTGTCACATTAGAGCTCCTTGTTGCAATGAAGTTTTCACTTGCCGTCATTGTCATAATGAAGCAATAGTGAGTAGGAACTTTGTATCATCCTATGTGTACGGGTGGCAATTTGTTCATCGTCCATGATCTTGTTGAATGTTTCTTTTAGCCTCATTGTTCACTTATCTGTCTGAGTGATTGAAAATGATGGAAAAAAGAGGTTGGGGTTGAAGATGGGAGGATACAGGATGAAAAAGAAAATAATCAACTCTGTGAACGTGTTAGATTGCTGCTGGTGACCAAATATACTTGTTATTTGTGATTATAGTAATCTGCATCATGCTGTTCTTGTGAATCTTAGAGGCAACGATGATCAGTGATACATTATTGGTCCCTAGGAACTGAATTCAGATTTCTTTGCAGAACGACATTAACGTTGATCAGAAACTGAGGCATGACATGCCACGGCATGAAGTTAGACAGGTACAAGACCTGAGATTTTGCTTCATTGACTATTCTGCTGAATTTTTTTACTGATTTGGTTATTCCAGTCAGTGTGCTATGCTTGTATCCATTCTGATCAGGCCTCCCTGGTCTGCTTTTTCAGGTGATATGCTCACTTTGTGGCACGGAGCAGGAGGTATGTCAACTTGTTTTCTATAATTTGTTCCCAAGTACCTATGTCAGGGGTTAAGGACAAAATAGTTAAGGGACTCCATTCTATTTGTCATGGTATGATCTTATGGTTCGACTCTATCATCTGTCTGCCTGGCTATTCATTTGTTACTTGCTATTATATTGTCAGGCTCAACAAGTTTGTAGGAACTGTGGTGTATGCATGGGGAAATACTATTGTGAAACCTGCAAGCTGTTTGATGATGATGTAAGTGATGACTCTCAATCCGGTTTTGCATCTTCGTATACAAGTGAGATTGAGCAGTATGCTTGAAGCTTCATTTGTGTATCTAAGCTCGTTAAATACCATAATGTAGCAGTGCAATTACTCCCAAATTTTTGTTGTGGGAAATTTGCACCTAAATTTCTACTTGTTGAGGTACCACCGGATGCATCCACGCTGATTGAATGTTAATGAACATTGTTTAGCAGATATCAAAGAGACAATATCATTGTGATGGCTGTGGGATATGCAGGTATGGTCTTTTTGTTCTCTTATTGTTAGTTTGTTACTATAGTGGAGGCAGTTTAGTTTTGAAATTTGCTGATCTAGCAAGTTCAATTTGGTGTGTTGCTCTTGCTCACCTTTAGAAATTTAGGGGACAAAGTGGATCTAGATCTCCTGGTTGGCATTGGAAGTGCAACGTGTTTAGTAGTACAATCTGTTTTCTCTGATGTCTTAGTACGTAGTTGAGCTTTTAAGTTTTAACCTGCATGCTATATTTTGTATCCAGAAAGAAAATACTCTGTTTGTCATCCCTCTATCATTGAAGCCTTTAGTTTAATCAACTCTTCATCTTATGAATGAACCAACTTCCCCTCCCGAATGAACTGTGTGGTCTTATTTCTCCTCATTGTTTGTGGTGTGCTTTCTCCATCCTTTATTCTGACCTGCTTTGATGGCCATGTTGTGCAGAATCGGAGGACGTGGAAATTTCTTCCACTGCGACAAGTGTGGTAAGCTACTTCTCTTGTTAAACTTAAATGAGGAATTGATTGAATGAATCGTCAGCTGACTACTTATTTATCTTCGCTATACGTGCAAAAGGCTGTTGCTACTCTATCCACCTGAGAAACAGTCACCCATGTGTGGAGGGCGCAATGCATCATGATTGCCCTGTGTGTTTCGAGGTATGGGAGTGCCTCTCTTTCTTTGTGCATGGGTTCTTTCTTGTTTGCAGTTCCTTAACTGCTATTGTTGTTGAATGTTTTATCCGTTTGCAGTACTTATTCGAGTCTAGACAGGATGTAACTGTCCTGCCTTGTGGACATACAATTCATCAAGGCTGCCTGAAGGAGATGCAGGAACATTATCAGTATGCCTGCCCTTTGTGTTCAAAGTCAGTTTGTGACATGTCCAAGGTGTGGGAAAAATTCGACATGGAAATCGCGGCTACCCCAATGCCTGGACCTTACCAGGGCAAAATGGTCCATTTCCAGAACTCTAGTCCTTACCACTCCCCACTTAGGCACGTACCCTTCTGTTTCTCTCTTATATTTTTTTTTTCTTTTGCCTGGCAGGTTCGGATACTCTGTAACGATTGTGGCAGAACCTCCCAAGTGCAGTTCCATATCGTGGCTCAGAAATGCACGCATTGCAAATCCTACAACACTCGCCAAACAAGAAGCTGAAGCAAGATGTATGCCATGCATCACTTAATCGATACGAAAATGAGGCTGCTGGCTGTGATTTATCATAATCTTGGTCCTTCCTGCCGACTGCAGTTTCCACCTGGCCTGGAGCCATGATCTCTCTACTTGGAGATGGAGCTCATTGTGATGAACCTCGCCTCCTCCCCCCTCTCTCAGCTTACACTATTATTTTTCTCGCTCTGTTCATCTTTCATTCCGATAAGTCGTTATTTGTAATTCTGTATGTCGTTTGCTGGGTCTCTACTCCATATGTTTGTCAAATGTCCAGAATTGTTGGGGTGCTTCAATTCTTCAGGGCATGAAGTGATGGTGGAACTGTAATGGGTAATGGATTTTCTCAGCATGATTTGTTGTAGTAGTTGTTGTTATGGGATACCTATGGTTATGGATGCGTATTGCCTCTTTTGAGTGGAGTTGTGCAGCAAAGATATGCTACACTGTTTCCGTGGCTTATAACTGTTATGAAAGGTCCATATTAGGGTTAATTGCATGGTTGGTCACTGAGATTACAAAAAAACATTCATATTTAGTCACTGAAAATATTTAAATTCAATCTTGGTCACTCAAATTAGATAAATTGTTCAAGTTTGGTCACTCTCCGTCCAACTCCGTTAAATTTGGAAAAAATTCAAAAGTACCACTGTTTAAAAAAAATTCCAAAAATACCACCCAATCCCAAAAAATTCCAAAAATACCACCCTTTTTCAAAAACCGCCACCCCCCCAGCGGTTTGGTCGAAAATCGCTTGTCGGGGGCGCGGTTTTGGACCAAACCGCGGGCCTAGGGGGCGGTTATAAAAAAAAAATATTGGACCAAAACCGCTGGGTGGGGTGGCGGTTTGGCCCAAAACCGCCACCCCAACCAGCGGTTTGGTCCAAAAGTTCGGTCGAAACTTCAAACGAACGTAACTTTGCACTCGGGTATCCGATCGTAGCGATTTTTTTTTCATTTCGCATAACTTTTCAAGATCTACAACTTTTACTAGGATGAAATGTTCAAAACAGGAACTATTTGTGGATATACGGGACCTTGAGAATAACTTTACCTTTACTTTTCAGAAATCCATGTACATTTTGAAACTATGATTATATTAAAAGTTGTAGATCTTGAAAGGTTATGCGGAATAAAAAAAAAATTCATGACATTCGGATTTTGGAGCACAAAGTTATGGCCGTCCAAAGTTTGACTGTTAACCCTCAAAGTTGACTGTTAACTCGATGACGTGGCAATTAAAAAATAATAAATAAAATAAATTTTAATCTTCTATCATTTCCAACTCATTTTCACAATAAAGTAAAATAAAAAAATTTATTATAATCACAAATTGAAAGAGTAGCTTCCTCCTCCGCCACCACATCCTTCCGCCAACCAAATCAGCTCCCAATTCCTCTGTCGCCAGCAGCGGGTGGAGCTAGGATAAATGGCAGAGTTTTTGGGCGTACGCAGGGTAATAAGGGGACTGAACGCCAAAAGCGTCGCCGGCGTTAGCGAGGCAGAAGGTGATGAGCTCGTTGGCTTCCGTCGCGCCGCCGCCCATCACGATCCTCTCCGGATCGAACCTCGCCTTCTTCCCCCCTCGCTCGCTCCATAAACCGCGCATGTCTCCATTTAAATCCCCCTCTTGTGAACCATTTGGGTCGTCTTCTCTATCTACCACCAGCCCTTCTTTCCTTCCCCGCTCTATACTTTCATGGCTGCCTTGCCCATTTATGTTGTAAAGCCCAGATCTTGAGTTGTTTCAGAACACTCCTGGGGAAAAGATTTTGGTTGTGCTTTTCTGTGTCCTAAGCTGTAGCTTTGTTTTGGTGTACTCACAAGGCGGGAATAATAACAATAATGACACTGCTAGTGTTCATGAACGTACGTTATAATGATGCCGCATGCAGCTTTGTCTTGATATGATTCGAGATTGGATCGAGAAGAACCACAGGCTTCCATTTGTACACCGGAGGGGCTTCACTTGTTCAAAGATGTGACCCTCTTTCAGGATTATCATGGCCTCCCACGCTTCAGACAGGTACGACAAAAATTTATGCCCCCCTACTAAATCTACTTACTGGGATGGATTTGTTTGCAGGCGGTTGCGCGGATTATGGAGCGAGCGAGGGGGAAGAAGGTCAGGTTCGATCCGGATCAGGATGTGATGGGCGGCGGCGCGACGGGAGCCAACGAGCTCATCACCTTCTGCCTCGCTAATGCCGGTGACGTTTTTCGCGTTCAGTCCCCTTATTACCCAGTGTACGTCCAAAAACTCTGCCATTCATCCTAGCTCCACCCGCTGCCGGCGACAGAGGAATTGGGAGCTGATTTGGTTGCGGGAAGGGATGTGGTGGCGGAGGAGGAAGCTACTCTTTCAAATTGTGATTATAATAATTTTTTTAATTTTTTAATTTTACTTTATTGTGAAAATGAGTTGGAAATGGTAGGAGATTAAAAATTATTTTATTTATTATTTTTTAATTGCCACGTCACCGAGTTAACGGTCAACTTTGAGAGTTGACTGTCACAACAGACAAATTTAATGGAGTTGGACGGAGAATGACCAAATTTGAACCATTTAACTAATTTGAGTGACCAAGATTGGATTTAAATATTTCCAGTGACCAAACATGAACGTTTTTTGTAATCTCGTGACCAACCATACAATTAACCCGAAAAAATTATCTCAGTTTGAACATGATTTGCATCTCGGGACATTGTGGCACACGTGATGGTATCGTTTAAGAATGGTAACATGTTAACGAGCATAAAATGACGGTCGTATTCAAAGTTCTAACGTATACGTTATATTTAAATATGTAAACCAAATGGATAAATAATCTAAAAACTCGTTTTGATTAATCTAAAAAACTCATTTTGATTAATTAAAAAACTCATTTTTGGTTAGTCAGAAACCATTAATTTTTTTTTATGAATAAGTTGTTTTATTCATTAAGGAAGGGAGACTTAATGAAAACCCCCTAACTGGAACTCAGTTCATGAAAGCAAACAAGCAAAAACTCAGATTACAATAACAGCACAGGCGGAGCTAGGGGTTCTTGGATGTGTCCCAGGACACATGTAACTTTTGGGTAAAAATAAAATACCCATATATGTATAAATTAAGGATTGCATTCATCATTTTTAGGTAATATAAAAATATTTTATCACTACACTACAAGTTATTTCAAGTTCCAATGCTAACATAAATCAAGTTATCACACTATAAACAAAATTCAGAATATCGAAAAATCGATCTATCTATCTTCTGAAGTTAGTTTTGACTCTACCGGTTGCAACTACAAGTGTAAAAAGAACATTTTCAGCTTTGAACTATATTAAAAACAAGTTTAAAAGTCGAATTGAGACCAATTTGCTAATAATTGTTTAGTTGGATACATTAAGAATTTGAAAACGCATCGTGATTGCTTATGAAAATAATGATTGTATAGTATAGTATTTCTTTAATATCTATGAATGAATTGTATAATTGGATATTATTAAGTTATAAAATATTTATAAACTATTCATTTATTTATATATTTATATTATAGAAAAGGGACACAGGTACTTACAGATTCTGCCTCCGCCACTGAATAATAGGGCACCAAGAGATTAAATCACCATCTAACTATTACTCTCACAACTACACTATACTACTAATGAAGTCTTCAGTTATTGCTAGCGCTACTTGGGGAAATCCACTCCTTAACAACTTCAGCAGACCCTACAATTTGCTAGGTAATTGGCCTGCAGTCATCAACTCCCCTGCCATAATTCTCCTGCACCTTTCCCGCCAAAGCTCTGCCACCACCATAATCTAAAGAAGCCTACCACGATCAGAGGCAATACAGTTTAGCCGAAAAAGAGACACAACAATCTCCAGTGACCCATCCCAGCTAGCTCCTACCATATTTTGTCCTTCAAAAACAGTCTGGATTATATGCTTTGAATAAGAGCATTCAAAGAAGAGATGATCTCTAGACTCAGCCGCAGAGGAGCATAAAGGGCAAATATTTATTACTGAACCATTCCACTTCTACACCTTATCTAGAGTAGTGATTCTATTCAGAATGACAAGCCAAACAATCAGCTTGTCTCTAGGAGCCCCAAAAGATTTCCATACGAACGAATACCACTGAACCTTCTCATGTCTAACACGAAGGGTTTCCCAGACTCGCTTAACAGAGAACTTAGCCATAATGCTATCTTCCCAGTACACTCCTGCTGGTCTGACCCTGAGATGATGTGCTGCAAGAGTTCTAACTTTAAGCACCTTCCTCCAAGCCCAGGAACAAGGAATGGAAGGAGGAATATCCCATATTGAAGTGTAGCTAAGGTGATAGTGCCTTACCCAGGTTTCCCATAAAGAGGAGGAATTCGAGGATATAGCCCAAAGATGTCTGACTAGACAAGCCATGTTCCAACTTCGAAGATCTTTAAATCCTAGACCACCCTCCTTCTTAGGCCTTGCTACCACCTGCCAGAGTACCTTAGCCTTTCTCCCTTCCTCCTCTGAACTCCATAGGAAATCCGAGCAAGTTTTTTCAATCAGCTTTAGCACTTTGACTGGGAGTTGAATAATTCTCATCCAATATTGAGTAACACTTGAAATGACAGCAGAGATGAGCTGTAATTTGCCAGGATAGGATAAGGATTTCACCTTCCATCCTCTAATCCTTGCAGTTATCTTGTCAACCAAAGCAGTAGAATCTGCACTATTCAACTTTCCAGCAATAAGAGGGATCCCCAGATAATGTACAGGGAGGTGTCCAATGGCAAACCCAGTTCTAGAAGATAGGAGGGCCCGAACACTAGGATCCACTCCTCCACAAAAAACTTCACTCTTGGCAAGATTGCATTTTAACCCAGAAACAACATAGAAAGCATCCAGAATAGCTTTAGTTTTCCCCACAGCTTCAGGAGTCCCCTTGGTGAAGATCAGGAGATCATCAGCAAAACGTAAATGGGAAAGCCTTATTCTATGTGTTTGTGGATGAGGAGGAAGCGTTTTGACAGCATAAGCTTTGTTAAGCATGCAGGACAGGACCTCCATGGCTATAGTAAAAATATAGGGGGAGAGAGGGTCACCTTGTCTCAACCCTTTCTGAGATGAAAAATACCCACAGAGCTCCCCATTGAAACAAACACTAAGCTTTGTGGTCTAGAGACAAACTCTAATCCAATTTATGAATTGAGCTGGAAATTTCATAGCTTCTATGACAGTCTCTAGGTAATTCCAATCAACACTATCAAATGCCTTCATCACATCCACCTTAAGAGCACACCTAGGGGATATAGACTTCCTATTGTATAGTCTAACCATCTCATGAGCCAATAGGACATTGTCACTAATTAATCTGCTCTTTATGAAAGTAGATTGATTCTGACTAATGACTAGTGGGAGGACTTCCTTCAATCAATTAACAAGAACTTTGGCTATACATTTATATAGTATGTTGCAGCAGGATATAGGTCTAAATTGCTTCATACAGTCAGCGTTTACCACCTTAGGAATGAGGGCCAGGTAGGTGGAGTTTACCTCTGAAAGTAGCTTCCCTGATCTGAAGAAATCCATGACAGCAGTAGTGATCTCATCACCCAAAATCTCCCAATTATGATGATAGAAACCAGCTGTGAAGCCATCTGGTCCGGGAGATTTTTCTTCATTCATGGAGAACAGAGCTATTCTAACTTCTTCTCGATTTACTGAGCTACAAAGAGGTTCTGCTTGCTCAGAGGTGAGTGTATGAAGTAACAGCTGGGATATCAGATCACTACTCACCCTCTAACATCAGGATTCCTTGTACCCAGCAAATTGTGATAAAACCTAACTGCTTCCTAAGTCATTTCCTTAACTTCAGTTAGGACTTCACCCTCCTCTGATATGTCCTTCTTAATAGTTGAAAGAGCCTGGCGAGCTTTCACAGAGTTTTGGAAGAAGGAAGTATTTAAGTCGCCAGTCTTAACCCAAAAGATTCTAGACTTTTGCCTGTAAATAGCCTCATCTTCCTTAAGAAGAAACCATGAAATTGAGGGTTAAAGACACATTTGGTCACTGAGATTATTAAATCGGGACATGTTTAGTCACTAGAAAAAGTTAATATCAAATTTGGTCACTATAATTACTAAAACAGGACACATTTAGTCACTCGCCGTTAGTTGCCGTCCAACTCCGTTAACAAAGTCCGTTATGTGCTGACGTGGCTAACCTGAGCGCCTAGTCAGCGCCGTTTTAGGCCGAAAATGGTCAAACCTGACCCGCCACGTCACTAAACCCGCCACATCAGACATCCAACCCACACCATTAACCCAACCCGGCCCATAAATAAACCCTAACCCACTTAAAAAAAACTGATCAGTTCCATTTGCAGACCCAGAAACCCTTCTCCTTCCTCTGTCATCCAATCCCCACTCCACGATCACCCCCGTCGTCCACCGCCATGTCAGCCCAACCGTCGCCGCCACCGCTGGACTTCTCCGTCGTCCTATCTGAATCAAAGCTCACAATCAATGCCCACTCCCGCCACTTCCTAGTCTTATCCGTCCTATTCCTCCTCCCATGTTTTCTCGCTCGCCAAACAGCCCCTTCCTTCGGCGCTTTCTCTCCTCTTCATTCAATTCACATTCCCCCTTCTTCTTCTTCTTTTCCAGAGCGAGTCAGAAACCTAGTCATGGATTCGAGACCTTCAAAATCGAAGCCTCGAGTCGACTTCCTCAACACCAGGAACATGAAGCGCTCCTCCTCCTCCAACTCAGACTCGCACCACGCCCAGCTCGACTCGCCGCTCCGATTCCACTCCCCTCTTCGCTGATTGGTTGTTCGTCACCCACATCGTCGTCAAGCTCCTCCTCTCCCTGGTGGCGCTTCTCTTCCTCTGCTCATTCTACTTCGTAATCAAGGGTTTGGACTTGGTGTGCCTCGAGATCGACGCTGATTCTCCCTACTTCCTCGCTCTCGCCGTCATCTACTCCGTCGTCCTGCTCGCCGTTCTCCTCTATTTCAAGGTCAATTGGTCCCTCTCTTCCGTGATCGCCTCCGGGAGGAAGGAGAAGGGTTTCCGGGTCTGCAAATGGAAACTGATCAGTTTATTTTTAAGTGGGTTAGGGTTTATTTCTGGATCGAGTTGGGTTAATGGTGTGGGTTGGATGTCTGATGTGGCGGGTTTAGTGATGTGGCGGGTCGGGTTTGACCATTTCTGGCCCAAAACGACGCTGACTAGGCGCTCACGTTAGCCATGTCAGCACATAACGGACTCTGTTAACGGAGTTGGACGGCAACTAACGGCGAGTGACTAAATGTGTCATGTTTTAGTAATTATAGTGACCAAATTTGATATTAACTTTTTCTAGTGACTAAACATGTCCCGATTTAGTAATCTCAGTGACCAAATGTGTCTTTAAGTCGCCAGTCTTAACCCAAAAGATTCTAGACTTTTGCCTGTAAATAGCCTCCTCTTCCTTAAGAAGAAACCATGAAATTGAATAACCATTATGTGAAGAAAAAGGCCAAGACTGGCAATAAGGGAAGATTTGCAAGTTCTAATGCAAATATGTTTTTTTGTTAATGTTGCTTTTTTTCTTTCCGCCTTATCATAATGTTGGGATAAATGCTACATTTGGTCACTGAGATTACTAAATTGTGTCATGTTTAGTCACTAAAAAAATTAATATCAATTTTGGTCACTCGAATTACTAGAACAGGTCACATTTAGTCACTCTCCCGTTAGAGGATTATGTTCTCTTGGATACAAGAATCCGCAACGATGGTAAAACAAAGGAGAAGGAGGGGTCGTTCAATACAACACCAAAATTACCCATAAAAAAAATCAAAAAAAATTATTAAGAATAAAATTATAAATTCAACCTTTGATTAGTACATCCTCCATACACAAATTCGATATTAAATCTAACAAACAAAAAAGCACTTGATAAAATACGACACAAATTCAATCTACAGTATCATTTATAGCCCAAACTTAAAACTGCCTACCCAATTCAAAAATTCCTGGCGTTAGAGTGATTTTCGGCTGCTGAGGTGGCTGCCCAAGGCGCGGATAAAACAAAATCATGTGGGCCGGTTTTCACTTTCCATTCCTTGGCCCATATTCTCTTCCTTGTGGGTTGTGTCGTCGTCACTCGTTTCGTCATTCTCCTTTCAACTTTCATTTCATCAATCAGGCAACCGGCAGTTACGGCCAACGGTGATTTTCGACAGTTCCGTTTTTGCACATCGGTCAAATCTGGTGTCCAAGCTGAATTGTGCCCTCGTAGGACTGGGCAGTGTCACTTTCCTCTTCAGTGTTGTTGTCGGGACGGAGTTTGGTGTGGACGGCCAAGGGTTCAGAGGTGAGCGTTTTCTAATACCTAATTTCTCTATAGCTGTTAAGTCAGTTGCTCCATCACCGGCACCTGGAATCTCACCTTCTGGTGGTTCCCCAACTGTGGTGCCCTTACCTGGCGGCCAAGGGAAGAGGGGAAGTCGTTTCATTAGCAAGGTTTTGATTAGTTGAAAGGGTCAGTTTGGGAATTGGGGTTTTGGTTGGAATTTCGGTTGGAAGTTTGAAGAGTGACTTCAGTTAAGTTTGTGCTTTAATGGTGATGATGCTATAGTGGTCGCCTGGTCGGTCGTCCTGAAATTGGAGTTTAGCAGTATCAATCTGTTATTTGATTTTGGGGTTCCTTAATCTCAGGTTTTCTTGGCTGTTTGGTACAATTACCATGTTTTACTCTTTTACATCTCTTTGGGTTCCTCTGCATGCCAATTGCTGCTATTCTGAGATGGCTTCTGTAGGATCAAGCTAATTGGTAGGTTCGTCAAATTAGTCGTTCAAAGTATCGTCTCATGGATTCTTTGAATGCTAGAGATCGTCAGTTGAACAATATAGAGATATAATCATCTAACCCTTTTTTTTTTTGCAGAAAACTCTTCGAACTAACCATGTCCTTCAAGCATTTAGCAGTAATATGAAGGCTAATAAAGCTATGGTAGAAAAGAGCCCGAAAAATTGTTTTTGACCCGTGGGTAGAAGTAGAAAATTGCCTAGAGCTCCTTAAGCAAACAAAGATACAGCCAAATGGTATCCACTTACATGAAACAATTATATTTCAGTTGCTATTCAATGACCTTTTCTGCCAAGAAAAAACTGACGAACCAATTTTTTGTCTACACACATATATACATACTAGGTAATTGCAGAGCTTATGTGTGATGGATCAATCCCCCACCTAACCATGAACAAAACATACAGTAGCGCTACTAGCATCCTCACCCATACATATATCTTATAGTTTTTCCTCTCCTGTTTTGAGTATTCATTTTCTTCTTACTTTGTGACAGTAAAGTCCTGATTCTTCAACATGGAAAATGACGGAATTGTTTTGTGTGGTGGGGGAAGGAAGGAAGGAACTACTCACTACTCAGAGAAGAGAGAACTCTATTAGCAGAAGTTTCTATGGAAGGAAGGAAAGTGGGGAGGGAAGTGAAAGACAACAAAGCTTTGATGTTGTTGTTGTCTTTTTCAAGTTGAGGGAAGGGCAGGAGCAGGACTGTGCAATTGGTATAGCCCAAGAAGAAGGTTTTACTTTCTTTTGCAGGGAAATAGGTACCCAAAATTGATAGAGAAAGTAGGGGGACAGTACCAAGTACTTCATTAGCCAGTTTAAGACTATACAGTATTAAATTTTTCAAAATATTTGAAATGTGTAGTTTTGGTGAGAAATCTATGTGTCTCATCTCCTGCAGTGCAAGAGAACTGAGGAGGAGGCTGGATTTGAGGTGAGTGATAGTAGAAGAAGGATTTCAGCGTTATCTAGGTTGGTCTTTTTACTTAGTTCGTATTTCCATTTATCATGTAAATATTTGTTCAATATTCAGTTACTGAACATGATTCGTCGGTTTGGTTAGGGTGACTTTTTTACAGCTTGGTCACAGAAGTAGGGATGGTCTTGATAGAAAGTTTAAGAGTCAGAGTAAGACATTCAAAGATCCGCGATGAAGGGGAACTGCAGCGGATATTGGTGAGATCAGAGGCAGAGGGAACTTATTGCGAAGGAGTTTCAACTCTTTAATTCTCAGATGAGTTCCTCTCTTTCTGCTTTCTTTCCCCTAAAAATTTAACTTTTCCGTCCATTATTTATGTTTGCAACTGATGGGAACCATCATCTGTATCAGATTTGTGGAATTGAGAAGCGAGTGGAACAGCAAACCCATGTTGTATCATGGGTTGAAGGCACCGAAGATGGTCAATATGTGAGGCCAATTGTGTGTTCTTTATCTTTTTGTCATCTGTCTAATCTGTATGATTATCAAGATTCATGGTTCTAAGCTTTCGTTTCACCACCAATTGAACTCTGTTTATTTTAGTGCTTGGAATGAGCTCTGTTTGAGGTTTTTGATTATGGTGTATTTTCCCTTGCTCACTCACTGTAGCTTGCTTTCTGCAGTAGGGTTTCAATTTGTTTGTCTCATTTTATACCAAGCAAGTATATTGTTAATCTATGCATAAGATTGTTCAACGAATCAGTTAGTTTTCCCATTATTTTGTGTTATAGTTGTGAGTCAGATTATTGCTATCGGGTACTCTGCCAAGCTAAAAGAAAGGATGACATATATGATTATCTTTAGAAAATTTACGTATTAGTAATATATATGGGAAAGTCTGGCTACAGACAAGGGATTGATCATCTATTTTTTATGATTCATTTTTCGTTCTTTATAACTTATGAGACATGTCTTAAAATATATTAGAGCAGTTTGATAAAATATTCCCCCACAGACTAAAAAATCATATTGGGTTTTTAATTATTGCCTATTTAAAATTTCAAATCATCTTATAAATTTATGGCCAAAAGAAATAAATTTTATCGAGAAAAAAAATAATAATAATGGTTTGGTATTTTTCCAGAGAAATTAAGAGAATCTGACACACACTTGAATGAAAGTGTAACCTATACATTTCCATTTTAATTAAACTTTCATCTATCATTTATATAACTAAATAAATTTCATTTTAATGTTTTTATTGCATATCATTATTTTTATCAGGTTGTGTCGAGATGGATAGTGCATATCCGTTACCCTACCCAAAATAGTTCGGGTTTTGCCCATACCCGCCCGTATCCACATAAGAAACGGGTAAAAAAATCAAAACAATGCTCATACCCGTTCGAGTTTCGGGTATCCACGTTTATCCATGGGTAATAATTTCTCTTTATAACTCCAACCAATATGTTAACATTCACACGTATTCTTTTTTTTTTTTGTAGTCATTCACACGTATTCTCACATTACATAAGTGGAAAAGTATGACAATAATTCACTAGAATGAAGAAAATTAATTAAAACAACACAATTTCATGAAAATACCATATTTATATGCTAAATATAAAATATTGTTAGAGAAAAATTACTGATTATATCTAGACAAAATACATATGCATGTGTGTAATCGGAGGGTTCGGGTTGGATAGTTAGAAAATCATGCCCACCTATTACCCGCAATATTCGGATTCGGATTTTACCCTACCCGATTAGGTTGGATTCGGGCGGATATTCGCGATTGCGGATACTTTTGTCATCCCTACCTCCTCTCGACGAACCGCAATTCCTTCTTTCGCATGGTGTGCATAAGGATGGATGGAGAGTTTTTCCGTTGAATCTTGGGTCCAACATCGTAGTCAGAGAGTGTCTTCAAGAAGAATTGCCTAACCCAACTACATCAGTACTCTTTGGAGCGCCACCATCATTTAAGAATTGTTGGCGAGAAACGATATCGGTAGGATTGATAGTGGGAATGCTTTTGGAAACATTTCTTTCTCATCTTTCTCGACTTGGTGGTATTTTGGCTTAATTTGACACTAGCATTCTAAAAAAAAATCTGCTGATTTCAAGTACATCATTGACTATTTCAGGACTTTTGCATGGTTGTTGTTGCTTTTCCAAATTAGCGATGGTTTTGATATTGGATTGGATGATGTTGGGGATTCTTTTCAGGTGATGGTTATGCAAAGAAAGTTAGTAATGCAAAATATTACGAAGAAATAATTTTTAAACAATTTATGTCACCGATAGGAAGTGCAAAATTTCTTATGAAATAGAAATAAAAATATAAGCATTATTAATCTAAGGATATCCTGATCAACACAAATATATACAACTAATTATCATTAATGTCACAATCGACAAGTAGCACGAAAAAATATTTTAAATTGACAATAAATTATTTAAAAAATTCCAAATTATCTAAAATATGAACAAATTAATTAAATCAAATACTATAAAAGAAATAAAGCAAAATTCATCCGACCAACGGGTCGGGTAAACGCTAGTATAACAAAATCCTAAGTAAACTTTCATTCATAAAATTCACAATTTTACCCAAATCCTTATTTTTTAAAAATCGTGCAAACAGACTTATTAGGTTGGGAGAAGGATTTACTTCCCGTTCCCGTGGAGGCTTCGCAATTTTAAATTTAATTTTTTGACAATAAACAAGCAGGCAGGAATTGGCTTTGTGAAATTTTAGGGTCGGATACTGGCCACTCGAAGGAAGGGAGGATAGGGACTAGGGAGGATTTACCGGTGACCTGCGTCGGAGAAGCAGTCGACTCCGGTTACGTAAATTTTGCAGCAGATGGCTAGTGAGATAAACAATGAGGAGACTGTTGTCTCAGATCCTCAGCCGTCGATCGAGCGATGTGAGGCACAGGACGGGAAGACCACTGACGTGCTCGAGAAGGGATTAATGGAGCACGGGTGAGTCCATTCTTCGTTCGACGCGCAACCTGTTAATGCAGCTTCTGGAGCTTCCTTCTTAATACTGCTGCTCTTACTTCTCGCTCTCGGCAGGTGCTCGCACTATCGACGAAGGTGTAGCGTTAGAGCCCCTTGTTGCAATGAGGTGTTTAGTTGTCGTCATTGTCATAATGAAGCGAAGGTTAGTGGATTTGAATCAGCCTGTGGAGTGTGGATTGAGATGTCAATTCTCTCCGTGATCTTGTTGGAAGTTTACTTTTGGCCTTACAATTGTTCGCTATCAGTCTGAGTAATTGAAAGCAATACAATGAAGAGGGTATTAGGGTTGAATTGAAGATGGGAGGATTTAGAAGGAGAAATAAAGAGAATAAGAAAGGCCGGCTGTTTCCTTTTTCTGAGAACTTGTTGAATCATGGCTGGTAGTTGTCTGCATCATGGCATACTTCTTGTTTCTGTTAGTTGCAGTGGTACACAGGAATGTAATTGGTTCCCTAAATTCATTACTGAATATAGTTTTCTCTTGCAGAACGACATCAAAGTCGATCAGAAACTGAGGCATGACATGCCACGGCATGAAGTTAGACAGGTATAAGACTTGAGAGATTTTGGTTCATTAACTATTTGGGGTGCATTCTCTTACTGGAAAAACCTTCCAGTGAAGATTCTGTACTTGGTATCCATTTTAATCTGATGGCACTGGCTCCGTTTTTTAGGTGGTGTGCTCGCTTTGTGCCACAGAGCAGGAGGTATGCCAACTTGGTTAACTCGTTATCTTCCCATCGGCAGTATTCTTATTTCATTGTTAACTGTTGTTGACTTGACAATAAACCTAGAGGATATAGTGTTCATGAATGAGGGATAAATAATGGGAAGTTTAAAATACTGCCTGCTAATCAACATTTCGTGTATACATTTGCACAAAGCTTTAGATCTTGGGTGGACTATATATCTTTTCATCCGCTGGGCCAACTGTGTATCATACTAGTTGACTTAAAATGGAACAATGTAAACCAGTGGTTAGGCAGTTAAGGTAACTTTCACTGTATTGTATACTCCTCTCTTAACTATGTCACACGTGCACCATGTGATTTGTCTGTTATTCGATGTCATGAACAGGTTCAACAAGTTTGCAGGAATTGTGGTGTGTGCATGGGGAAGTACTATTGCGAAACCTGCAAGTTCTTTGATGATGATGTAAGCGATGAATCTTGAATGTGGATTTGTTTTTTCATATATTAGGAAGTGTCGATCAGCGATGCAGCTTGCATATCTGAGCTATAGCTATTATATTATTATGTAGTAGTATCCACACTGGTTATCAGCTTTTCTGCATTTTGGTGTGCCTCATGGTGCATCCACACTGACTGGAGATCTTCTTTGAATGTCCATCAACGTTGTTGAGCAGATATCAAGAGGGCAATTTCATTGTGATGCCTGTGGGATATGCAGGTATGCTTTCTTTTTTCTCTGCAATCTTCACTAAACTAGTGGAGGCAGAACAACTTTGATTTTAGCCGACATCTCAAGTGTAGTTTATGGTGTGGATCGCCCTTGAAATTAAGGGTTACAATCTGGGTCTGGAGTCTGGACCTGGTTACACTGCAAGTAACTTGTTTGGTAGTAGGAACACTGTGTGCTCTCTGTTTCACAGGTAGTAATGCCAATGGCTGATTGCCAGTTGTCATGGCTTTAACGCCCATGCTAGATTCTCTAGCCAGAATGAAAGACTCCATCCTATAAATCTCCAGGATCCCAGCAGCAAGGCTTTGTTTAATCACAGTTCATAATATTCGCCATTTCCATGCCCTCCCATAGTTCTACTATCAGGTCATCTGGATGGGTGCACCATAATGCAACTAAACAAATCCGTCATTTTTGTTGTTGACGCTTTAGACAATCTCAAATATATTGGGGTAGGGTGCTTATGGAAGTACACTCCAGAAAAGTAGGCCTCACATGCTTATTTTTCACTTCACAACACAATTTCCTAACAAATGCACTGAATGAAACTGTATGTGTTTGCTTATATATCTTACATAATAGCATACAAAATAAGTAACATAAGATAAGCCGAGCCAAACAATGTTGTTTGTGTGTGCTCACTCATTGTTTGTGATGTGCTTTCTCAATGCTACATTCTTACTTGCTCTCAAATTGGGAATGTTCTGGCAGAATTGGAGGACGTGAAAACTTTTTCCACTGCAAAAACTGTGGTAAGCTTACTTCCCATTGCGACATCTGGTAATCTTAATGAATTTGGATCAAAATCTTTAGCTGACACCTAATCATCTTTCGGTGCACTGCAAAAGGCTCCTGCTACCCTATCTCTATTAAGAAAAGTCACACCTGTGTGGAGGGCTCAATGCGTCATGATTGCCCTGTGTGCTTTGAGGTATGGAATGTTTCCAAGTCTTTTCCACTCTCTTTTTCCCTCATTCATTAAGATTTTCTTCACAAAGCCTTGTATAATGTTCCACCTCATTTTGCAGTACCTATTTGAGTCTAGACGGGTTACAACTGTACTACCCTGTGGGCACACCATTCACCAAGGCTGCTTGAGCGAGATGCTGCAACATAATCAGTTGAGCATCACTTGGCCTTATAGATGTTCCAAGTGATTGTATCTTATGCTTCACTTTAATTCATATAATCGTGCTTTTGAATGCAGGTATGCTTGCCCGCTATGTTCAAAGTCGGTATGTGACATGTCAGCGACGTGGGAGGCACTCGATGTTGAAATTGCCGCTACCCCAATGCCAGAACCATACAGGGGCAAAATGGTTTGTTTCAGAACTCTGTAGTCCTCTCGCCTGGTCTCTCTCTCACACCCTGATGTCCACCTCTCGCAGTAACCGTTATTTATTTACTTTTGGCAGGTTTGGATACTCTGCAACGATTGCAGCAAAACCTCACAAGTACAGTTCCATATCGTTGGTCATAAGTGCTCCCATTGCAAGTCCTACAACACTCGCCAAACAAAAAACTGAAAGAAGTGAAAGCTGGCTGGTGATATATCTTCCTTCCTGCAGTAATTTCACCGGACCCGAGCCATGATCTCGCTAGAAGGAGAGGGAGCTCCATTTGCATTCCGACAGGTCTTCTGTTTGTTGTTTTTCTCTACTCTGTTGTTGACGACAAAAAGTGGTTCGTGTATTCATATAGATATTGTTGTCTTGTCCCTACGAGGGAGGCCTCAATGTTATGAACTTATGATTGCAAATTGTATATGGTTGCAAGTGTAATGTTGTGGCAGTTGTAGTTCATATCTAGATTCTAGGGTGGCTTTTTTTAGTATATGTTTTCGTTTTGGCTAAAAACACATCTCCATCTACAAAGTTTGGTCGAAAGTTTGAATGGTAACATCACCGTGGGTACCAAACGAATCCAAATTGATTATGTCGGAAAAAATCCAACCGATATTATCTTTGGGTTAGTTTTTTCGAACGCAATAAAAAGGGTAATGAGTTTGGTGAGGTATTTGCATTGAATTCACCTAAATATGTACTAGTTTTCTACCCGACTAGTTGGCCGGAGAAGTTCGTTTTATTATTTATATTAGTTAACTTATCTACATGTTTTGAACTTTTTGAATTTTGTATACATTTTATGCTCTCGCTTCATAAGTGAATATGTGGTATGTCTATATCGAATAATATTTAATAGTTAGCACACTCGCTTGTGATGTTTTTATTCTCTGATCATAAATCATGTCGTAAAGGTTTATCACGTCCCATTTAGGATCCTATATAAAACAATTTCCACCAAGACGCTCAAATTTATTATCTTATAGAACATATATCAGTTCATGATTCTCGAGTTTGTACGAACTCTCACCCAATTAATAAGAGTTCAAATTATTTGAAAAATATACTTGATTACTGGATAAATTATGTTTATCCCAATTGAAATTTGACACTTTGTATCCCTTAAAATGATTAAATTCTCTAAACCTCACTCATTTTTATTGTTGATGTTCATGAAGTCTTTGTATAACAACTTATTACAATTGCTAATATTTTAAGTTTGTACTAACCCACAACCCATGCATTTTGTCTAGATGTTCGTTTAGAATCTGAATCCAAGGATTGATAATAAAAAAAAAATCTGAATCCAAAGATTCATATACACTGTCGAAGGTTCTCATCTTAACATGTTCCTTCAATGTATAACTTTTCAACTATTTGAATGTCCATTCGCTAAAATTTCTTTATATTTGGTTTTGTTCTAGAACAAAAATTTCATTACTTATATTAATAATTGGTAAAGTGTGTATACCAACAAATATTTCAGGTGCATTCAAAATTATGTATTCCTTGAATAATTAACTTATAATTTTTTAACAAAATATTTTGTAGCAAAATTTTAAAGTGCATACAAACATTGTGGCTTTTCACGTGTATTTAAATTATTGAATGTATTGTAGACACATCTATTGTTAATATCTAAACATATATATACAGAGATTTTATTTTACTTTCAACACTAATTAATACCTTTGAACTCAGCTCCTTGGGTGAAATATGGTATCAATTTTTTTTATTATTGCCAAAATTTGGTATGAAATTACAGACTCACAACTATATAGACTTGTTACAATTTTCTTACTAAACTCATATTTATTAAATATTCTTCTTTTGACCCAATAGCTCGGTTTACACTATTGTAACTATAAATGTTTTTTGTTATATATGTGAAGTAAAACATTAATGTTTATTTATTACCTCAATCTTCGAATTTAGATTTTTCTTAGCATGAAATGTGATGTTTACCATACATCCTTAACAAAGATTTCTCTAAATTTCACACATTTCATTTTTCAAGTGATCTCATGTCTCATCCTAGAATATGAAGTCAAAGTTCATCAACTATTATACTCAAGTTATTTTGGAAACTTCAATTTATAATCTTTAACAATAAATAACTCCAAGTCTGAAAAGAAAATTTCTTAGCATATGATGTAAGACCTCAATAGAGCTTGCTCAATCAAAATTACCTAGAGAAAATATTAGTAATGTGAACTTAGGATACATTATAAATACTGCACATGCGATGTTTTTACTTGATCAGAATGAATAAGAAGCTTTTTTAATAAATAACTATTATTTCTTGGACAAGTTTCTTTCAGACCCCATCGACAAGATATTATTATTTTTGTGTGTTTGTTTAAATTATTCATTAAAAAGTAAATTATTATTAAGTTTTAGTAAAAATGAGTAGAAATTTACATGGTAATCTTTAATCATATATATTTTGGTTTAAAAAGTGTGATATATATGTCACTCTACAAACATTAGTATACTGTTGCGTACATCGATATAATACAAAACCAAAATATGATATATGTCACTCTCCATCATGATTGTCACGTCGGCCGGCATGCCACCGGTTGAACCATTCAACCGGTACCGGTCATGAAATCGACATGACACCATCGGTATGACCGGTATGATCATTTTACGAATTTCTAAGTAAATTACGTAGTTTTAGTGAATTTAAGTATGAGTACATGCAATTTTATTTGAAATATCATATTTTATTCAAATATCAATATGAATTGTACGTAAATTGTATTCAAATATGGTTTATATATGATTAAATTCATTTGATATTAATAATTTTTTATATTTCTACATATTTTATTAACCGGCATGAAACGACACAAACCGGTTGTACCACTAGTAAAACCATTTCACTTGCTAAACCGGTTTGATAACCTTCTCTCCATATATTATTTATAGATATAATGCAAAACAAAAGCAAAATAATTATTGAATAAAAGAGAATTAAATATTAAATGAAAAGAGAGGGACAACTCCATAAATAGGTCAGTAACTATTTTTTGGTAAAAAAATTGTCCACCTTGGCAACTTGAGATCTCTCCAAGTGCTTATGTGGCAAAAATTTAATTTTGAATTTCCATAATATTATGTATAGATAGATAGATAGATAGATAGATAGATTACAGCTATGTTTTAGACTCACTCAATTTAACACTTAGTTCATCCATATTGGTAAACCATTATAATTATATCGGGTTAATTGCATGGTTGGTCACTGAGATTACAAAAAACGTTCAAGTTTGGTCACTCGAAATATTTAAATCCATTGGTGATACTTCAGTTTACCGAAACCGTTCACGTTTGGTCACTCTCCATCCAACTCCGTTAACTTTGGCTGATGTGGCAGTCAACTCTTAAAGTTGACCGTTAACTTAGTGACATGGCAATTAAAAAATAATAAATAAAATAAATTTAATTTATTTTAATATCCAACTCATTTTTACCATAATAAAATAAATAAAAATTATAATCTAGATAATAAATAAAAGCCGAATGATGAAAACTGTTGCTCCATTTCAAATTTCCTGCAACGAGAGTGATTATAGGAAGGACATTTTGGTCTTCACAATTGCTTATTTTCTTATTTATTTATTCATAAAAAAGGCATGCACTGGGATTTGAACCTTCGTCTCTTTAAAGGCAAGCAAGGATCATAACCAATCACACTAAGCAGCAACCTCCTCACCTTGATTTGCAGCCAGCCAAGCCCATTACCTTCTCACGTTTAGCTGTGTTATTATCCAATTTCTTTCCCCGCCCAGAAGCCCCCATTCCAATCCTTTTCTCCTTTGATCCGAACCATTTCCCCTATCCTAAGATCAGCATTTCCCTCCCCAACTTTCTTGGTTTCAATTCCCACATCCTCATCTCTCCCATTCACTCACCGCTTCCCCTAAACCTTTCCTCCCCCCATCCCGAAACCTTTGAAGCCTCTCTCACAAATCCCTCCACTTCCCCTCCCTCCACCCAGCTAATTGGCAACCCCTTCTCTCAAAGCCCTGTTGAGCCCCCCTTGCCCACCTCGCCATCGTCCCCCTCCATTTCTTTCGTTCCGGAAACCCCTGCTGCTGTAGATAGTTTTTCTGATCTCGACCTTCCCTCCCCATCTTGCACCCGTGATAATGATCGGCTGTCCTGGGACTCCGACGTGTTTCCCTTTGACTCAGACACATTAGTTGAAAGCTCCTTGGCTATGAGCAATCTGTTCGATCTAGAGCATGAAGACGGTCAGCGACAAGTGGAAAAAATTGTTACTGAAATGGCGGCTGCAATGCATAAGAGGAAAATCAAGAATGGGCGATCGAAATTAGAGATGGAAAGGCGACGCTTAGGTCCCATTTCCCCTCAACCATTGGGGCCTAGAAGATGTAAGAAGATTTCGGGTGGAGTTCCTATATTTGCTCTTGATCAATGAACACAGCAGTATTTATCTGGAATGTTAGGGGTGTGTGTGATCCGGTGAAAAGAGGTCGAATTAAACAGCTTATTCGTAGAAGAAAACCTCAGATAATCGCCCTTGTGGAAACAAAATGGTCTTCTTGCTCTGACTCCCTTGTGACCAGTGTGTGTGGCAGTAGAGATATGGGGTGGGTTGCAAAAGATTCTGCGGGTAGCTCAGGAGGTATTTTGATATGTTGGGACAAAAGCAGGTTTCAGAGCCTATCTAGTTTCACTGGATCCTTCTTTTTGGCGGTTGAGTTCATGGACTGTCTCACATCGGTAATTTGGCGTCTTGTCATTGTTTATGGTCCACAGGCGAGAGTGGACAAGTTTGCTTTTCTGAATGAGTTGAACTCGTACTGCCATCAGTTTCATCAATCCCCTCTCTGTATCGCTGGAGACTTCAATCTCGTTAGATCTCACGATGACTACATAGGGGGGAGAAGAAATCCTGATCTTATGCGTTGCTTTAACGATTTCATTGATGACAATGAATTGCTCGATCTCCCCATCAGTGGCTGTCGCTTTACTTGGAGCCTCGGAGACAACAGCAATTCTCAATCCCGCATCGATAGAGTGCTGATTTCCCCTGAATTTGACGCTCTGTTCAGTGATTGCAGGCTGGTTGGGCTTGAAAAGGTTGAATCTGATCATTCTCCGCTTTTCTTTCAGTGGGGTGGTAACAGAAGAATTAAGCGACCTTGGAGGTTTGAGAACATGTGGCTTGAAGATGATCGTTTTTACACAAGTCTTGATATTTGGTATTCGAATCCTATACAAGGAAATGGCGCTGTGTTCAGGATAATCATGAGGTTGAAAGATCTGAAACAGAAGATCAAACAGTGGAATAAGGAGGTCTTCGGAAATATCCACGTCAGAGTTGACAATCTGCTGAAGGAGATCTCCGAATTATGCCTAGCCAAAGAATCTCGGGCCTTATCAGTCTCGGAAGTTGCTGCTCTCATCGATAAGAAGATGGATTTGGGTAAAGCATTATATTTGCAGGAAATTTGCTG